TTGCGGATTACCTTTTGGGATTCTATATATGGGACCCCAACAAGGAACTACTATGGAGCCTTAAGGTAGCTGTAGTCTGCACTGAAGTTCCTTGTTCCGTTACCCTTATTCGTCCGCCAAGGCAATTCTACATGATAGGATCCGAACCATTGTAATTCGGTGTCCAAAAAAGAGCTAAACAATAGAAACTATAGGCAGGGTTTCGGCTTTACCGGTTTCCGGGACTAGGGTTGACCTTTGGGATGCTAAATCGGGTTTCGGCTCGAAAATAGGCTTGGGGTTCTAAGTCAGGGTCTAGCTCGGTGGGTAAGACGCTGTTCGCTGAATATGTGTGAGAGAAGAGAGCGAGAGAGAGAGAGAGATACAGAGAAAGGGAGGGAGAGTGGAATCAAGATTATAAGGGTCCGTCACTGCTTTCATGACTATGAGTATGACGTGGGTTGGAGGGCATGGATAGTGTCTCAAGCTCAAAACCCGACGCCCTGAACCCTAAAGACTATCGACCAGTGCACAGCCCTTTGCGGTGTCGTGTTTATGTTTGTACTTTGTTTTGTTCTTTGTTGTGTGGCTTCGCCTGGAGTACCCGCATAGACATCGGCCTGGGGCTAAGACGTATCGGTATCGAGCACCACCAGTCTGAAGTCCATCATGCAGTGCACGGAGGTGGTCCGACATAGTGTGAAAGATTGATGGTGAGTTGGTTTGGGGTTATAGGGCTCTCGTGCTGTAGGGCTGTATTTCTTGGCATGCTTCAATGCTATAGCTAGCTGTAGCTGCTAGAACTCTCAGGAAGGATTTTCGGTAATACCGACAATTGGAGCACTTACGAGATCTAGGTAAAGCATAGGCGTAGACTCTTCGCAATAACCTCTTCGAACCTTAACTTTATAGCAGCCCTTAATGAAAGAGGCCTCATCGTAACCTATGTAGTACCCTTCGAAGGCTTGGTACGGTTGATGATATAAATCCTGCATTACCCGTAGTAAGGAATATACCATAATTCCCATAGTTTAGGGTCCTTAAGGTAATGCAGGATTTATATCATCAACCGTAGCATCTGACTATCAGTCCCCCGGGCGAAGACCGCGAGCTCTTACCAGACAGTCCTGAACCCGAGAGTTAAGCTTTTGGGTTGAGGGTGTAGAGTTTGAGGGTTCAGGTTTTAGGGTAGGGTTCAATAAGTAGAAGCAGTTTTAGTGACGCCGTCGCAGTAGTAGCAGCAGTGGCAGTAGCAGTAGTAGTCGTCGTCGTTATAATGATCAGACTGCTGTTCGGGTTAATAATAGCAACAGCTGTTGTCATATCGCGGCCGCGCAGTCCCTAGCATGACACGAACTAGTACTATGTTGAAGGTTCTTCAGGAGCTTCCCGCTTAGCTCTAGTGTCTGCAGCAACAGCAGCTGGAAGTGGACGTTCATGTTGAAGCGCCCCAAACTTTAAAAGTAGACCTCGAGCCCTAAGCCGTTGAATGAGGGGCGCCAAGAGCACCTAAGCACAGACTATTCAACCGAATCTTGCCTTCAACTGTCTAACTTGTGTGTTCTTTGGGGGATCCCTTTGAAGCAATGCAAGCAATGCCGGGTCAAAGAACCCTTTCATGAAAACTAGCGGCCCTGAAGCCCAAACCTGCCTCGTGAGTTTTGGCTCAGAGCGGCAATCACGTATATGGGCCGACCGCAGCATGTGCTGACCCCACATGACGAAATCGCCCGCACTCGGACAGCTTCCGCCTAAGCCCTAAACCTCAGGGGGTTTCAAAACTACGCAAATCAACGGTCCCTTCTTGGAGCTCCTTCTATCGAAGAGGACGTTAGTTTGGGGCTGCAGAACTTGTTCTCGTTGCCTGAAAGCTCGGTAAACAGAGCACAACGGCTAACATAGAAGGACCGTTATTGAATAATGGCCCCCCCCGGATGAGATTGCGAGTTGCAACTACTTGTTCCCCTTAGCCATGAACTCCAAAGCCTGCACTGAAACCCTCGAACTCGATACCCAGAGTGTAAAGAACAACTGGACGCGGCCTGGCAAGTTGCCGGCCAGAACCTAGCAGCGTTTTGACTGCACGCTGGGAGACCGAAGAAGCAGTCCTCTTGTCGGGCCTCTCGGCTAGATACAAGCGAAGTAATACATCCGTAGTAAAGATATGGATACATAGACAATAAAATGCTGATGCATATGTATACATACATATTTTGTTATAAACATGGATCGAGATGCAGGTGAGTAGGTATACCTAGGGATCTAGGTATATAGGTACTATAGGTATGTAGATGTGTAGGTATATGTAAATATAGATACAGACATAGATATGGATATACAGATATACAGATATATAGACCGGTAGATATAGATACAGACAGAAAGGCATAAATATGGCAGGTGTGTGCCTATGTTCATTTCTACGCGGGTATATTTACTCATTCATTCAACTGTAGTGCGGGGGGTTTGGCAAGTCCGCGGTGTCCCGCCTTCGCCCTCAAACCTGAACCGTCGGTTGGGTTTTTCAACCAGGACGACCCAAGCCTCACTAGTAAGTCGTGACCCTCCGCTTGTCTTATATTGAAGGCACCTACAAGGAACTCCAGAAAGTTGGAATATGGTTTCAGGGTAGGATATCTTATAATTTACCATAAAGAGCTTAAGATAATCATATTCCAACTTTCTGGCTTCTACTTTAATGTAATTGCCCTACCGGTAGCAAATTCTTACGAATCATCAAGGCCGCCGTTTCGGTGCGGGTATTCATCAGTCTGAGAACCCAGAGCCCGAGGGTTTGGGGTTGATAGCTCTGAGCTTACGAGTCTTGGGTTTAGGAGTTTAGGAGTGTAGGGTCTAGCGTTCAGAGTTTAGGAATGTAGTCGGGTTTTAGTGCTGAGGGTCTACCCAAAGCCTTAAACCCTGAACCGTCATCAGTCTCAGGCCAGGGTTGTGGGGTATGTTACGGTATCAGCAAATGGGGCGATAATGGAATAGTAAAAACCAATGCCTCAAAAAGCCCCACAGCCTAAGCCCTGAATGTTGAAATCGCCAAAGACGAAAACCTAAGCCTTTCGAACCTTGGAAGCGAAGATCCTACCCCCACACCCAAACTCCAGATCCGACAGTGAGCCCTGAATCCAACAGTTTATCAGGCTCTCAGGACCTACACCATACAGGACCTCCACTACAACCTAAACCCATGAACCCAACACCTTTGATTCAGTAACTTGCGCCAGAGCCTTTACGCCCTGAACCCTATACAGCCGAACACCAAGCACCAATAATGTAGGGCCTCAAATAATTACCTATACTAATTTTGGAGGCTCCATATTGTGACTATAGTATAATGGCCCCAAAACCCCATTCGAATCATTGTACCTTCGCCTCGGCCCAAGGGCACCCGCTGAGCAGCTTCAGCGGAACTTTTCCCCGGACCGGTGATGGAGCATTCTGCTGGCACTCTTTGACTTTCGGGTTTCCGTTTAGGTTTCTATAAAGGTGTGCATCAGTTTTAAGGTAAAAGGCTTAGGCCTACAGGGGTTTGTATCAACGATTTCATCGAATTGGTTGCAAAAGAACTACAACGAGGCTATGACAGATAGCGTTAACCTCTTCCATGCGGCATGTAGGTGGTACTCCATGCCTTGTTAGGGTGGTAGGAATGCAGATGGTGTCGGAGCCGGTTCACATGATTAAAGCTCACTGAGCCCAGTCCTGTTTCCTTACTTGAAAGACCAGGAGGACTTAGCGAGCTGATCAACGTAGAGCTATAACGATTAACCTATACAGTTCTACTATGTTCTACCTGTGGCATACTTTCTGCGTCCCCTGATCCTCTAGGTAGCCCCGCCCTAGATCCGAATCCGGCGTAAGGCTCAAGGCTGGCCCAAACTGGTTCAGCTTTCCGTTCAGCTTTCCTTCGGGCCTTAGGAATTAGTTTCGTTTTTCCAGAAAAGTGACCCGACCGGCTATTACACGAAAATGTATTCGTGTTGTGTTGTAAGTCTACGAGGCGGCTGGATTGTAGCTGAAGTCATGAATAAGGGGGCCTACTGGGGGGTTTCCTTTTTATACTCAGTCATAGTATAGTATGCTCCAGAACCCTATTCTAATTATAAGGGCCCCTATACTAAACCCTTAAAGGAACCCTTATGATACCATTTAAAGGAACCCTATTCTAATTGCTAACGGCCCTATATGATCCCGACACCGGCTGTAACCAACCAAGGACACGGTCCGAATTTGAAGGTTGCCTCTCTGTGCCATGGCGACAACCTGGTCACAGTATCATAGGGCTTGGCTTCGGTTAGGGTTCAGGGCTTAGGTTTGCAGCTTATAGGGCATGAGGTTTTGGGGGATGTTTAGGGCTCAAAGTCAGGATTAGAGACTTCAGGCTCAAAGGGGGTCAAGATCAGAGACTTCGGGAATCTTCAGGACATGGGTTGCTGCAGTAGCTGAAGGTAAGCGCATTTGAGCTTCCCGGCAACGGCTCGGGTCTTTGCGCGCACAGCCTGTTTCCAAGCCTTGCTTTCATGTCACGGTACGGTCAGAACATTACAGCTCCGATAAATCCCCAGAGCCCGACACGAAACACCATGTCCAGCAGATATTGAAGCCTTACAGTAGAAGCCAGAAAGTTGGAACATCATTATCCTCATTCCCTAAGGCAAAGTAGAGGGAATCCTAGCACTAATCAAATCGAAACCCTCGAAGCACCGCAGGTTCGAGATGGTCAGCTCAGTATCTGCATGCAATCCAGACAGATGGACGACAACAAGATCCACAAGTGGTGTGTCTAGTCCGGTTTAGGGTTTAGGGTTTAAGCTTGGGATGCAGAGAGTTTCGGTTTGAGATCCACAAGTGGTGTGTCTAGTCCGGTTTAAGATCAGCCTTGTCCTTTTTCATGGTTCCCCCTTCCTACTAAGGGATACAGGTATGGGGCTCTGTCTATTATTTCTAAAAGGACAAGGGTGGTTAAGGGTTTATCAAAGGGCAAAAGGTGGGACCCTTAATGGGGACCCCTACCCTAGAATGGGCTATATAATGGGTATATAATAGCTATATTAAGGGTATATACCTAGGGGTCCTTATTAAGGGTCCCTCCTTTTACCCTTGGAGGTTTAAGATTGGGATGCAGAGAGTTTCGGTTTGAGGGGTCCAGACAAGCTCGCGCGCGAAGAGCCAGAGGTTCGGATGCCCAGAAGCCCCGTCAAGCTCTCTCGGCTAAGAGCTGAGGAGTTAAGGGTTTAGGGTAACTGTGAACCCTAAACCAGCAACGTATGCCCTAAACCCGCTTCAGCACATGCTCTGCTGGGCCGTTGTTGGTGTGCCCTGCACTGTGGCACCCAACTGTAGATAAAGCCTCCAAATGTGTGCGTTTTGCCTGCATGGCTCTCAGTACTCCTAAATACTGACGCCTTGTACTGCATACTGAAAATACTGTAACCTAATCGTAAACAACCATCGTTTTTGGTGGAGGCTCCTAAGGTTTTAAATATTAAGCCTACAACTTGAAACTCCACAGCAGCACAGCTTCTTCAACTGTTACTTCGGAGTTACCCTGCAATGCAGGCCTCGTTCTTGCTAGGTAGGAGGGAAAAAGAAGCGGAGTTTCTTCGAGACGTTCAGGCCGTCCCTGCACGTGGCAGCCTAGAACGCCTGGTCTAGGCCTTGGGTTTAGTATAGGGGCCTACAAGAATGTGAAAGGCTTTGTTAAGGGTTTATGATGTTGGGGTATGTTATTGTATAGGTTTAATAAGAGAAACCATATTATGCAGGCCTCTATGACTCTATATTAAGGTTCCGGGTGTTCCGGCTGTAGCCTTCAGGGAGAAGCCCTAACCCAAAAGGTTCTTGGGTACAGTTGTTGTTATCAGTATATCCTACAACAGAAACTGTCTACTCTATCTATCTACCTGTCTATCTATTTATCTTTCTTTCTATCTATCTACACATATATACATATATTTGTAGGAACTTCGATTCCAACCCTTTGGCACATATATATATATATATATATATATACAGAGAGAGAGACAGAGAGAGAGAGAGAGAGAGAGAGAGACAGAGAGAGAGAGAGAGAGGTACTTAGGACCATTTGGCAAGATCACCGCGGTTGTCTCTGAGGCTCCTTCCCTGAACAGCGTCGGCCGCAGTTTTAGTGGTTGAGATAGGGGTGCCAATAGCTGGCAACAGTATGCCTCAAGGGTCCCTTTGACATTTTTACGATGTTTCATGATCATATGCCCTGAAACCCTGGCCTAGTAAGTAAGGGCCTTCTACTACTTTGACCTTGCTTAGGCAAGCATGGCACGTCTAAGCTCCTTATAAAGGAAAGGCGGCTTAACTGAGATAATACCAATACCGCCAGCGCTCCTCCATACACAGACCCCCAAACCCCTTACCTGCACATCGTTCCCCAGTTCCTTGAAAATGTCAGGAAGATTCCTTAAATCCCTATAAGAGAATCCTTGAAAGATCCTTGACCCTTGGACCCTAAACCCCATAAGAGAACCTAAGCGCTTGTGGGGTCCCGGGCACCACCCCAGGTGCATGGATGGAGGAAAGTCTGCCAGATTTCATCGAAACGAACCGACTGCCTCGGACGAATGGCTTCCTCCTATGCCGCTGGGACAAGACCCTAAAGGGAACTCCAGAAAGTTGGAATACGGATTAATGGTAGGCTCCCCTATAATTTACCTTAAAGGGGTTACGATAATGATATTCCAACTTTCTGGCTTCTACTGTAAACTTAGGGACCCAAAAAACAAATAGGCATAAGCATTTTCATAGGGATATCCCTACCTTAATGGGCTTCATTACAAGGGGGTTTATATGGGATATCCCCATGCTTATGTTTGCTTATGTGTTTTTTTCGGGCCTACAAACCCTGAACCCTAAACCCCAAGTCAGCCCTGCTCCGAATGAATGTCGCAAGTTACTAGATATCCTTGGTGTAGCAAGCCGGTTCGGTGTTGAGGGGTTGGCAGAGAGCAGGTGGAGTTTTTGCATGACCTATCCGGGTGTTCCCGCCCTACGGGCATCCCCAGAGACCTAGTGTTGTGGGAGAAAAGGAGCGACAAAGCAAAAGAACCTAATCCCCAAAGCCGCTGGGACAAATTACCCACCGGTGATGTCAGCACCGATATCCTGTTTGAATGATGCGGGGGCTTGGAAATTCAGTCGAGTTTGTTCTGTAACTACTGGTTTATGGGGTTATCCTACTTATCCATCGACTTGCAATTTACTTTCTGAGTCCCCTCATCCTCTGAGTACTCTCCCACTAGCTCAACATGGAGCCCCGATGCTCTGTTTTGAGGCTACCTTAGCCCCAAGTATCCCACTTTCCGAGGGTTTATACAAGGAAGTCATATCAAGGAACCCCAAAATATAGGTTTCTTAGGGTCCAGGTATTCCAGCCCCAAGCCACTTCTCAATCCTCGGTTCCAGCGTTTCCTTAAGAGCGCAGTTGCTAGTTACTGTGTTGTGGGTACGTTTCTGCGGTAGCTAACTACGGGTTGTATGGTACACAAAAGTAGAAGCCAACCAAACAAATAAACAAAGGTCTGTATCTGCACATACACACACATATACATACATACATGTATGTATATATATATATATATATATATATATATATTCATATATGCATACACACACATATAGGTAAACATAGACTTATATGTGCATGTGCATGTGTTGTCAATGTAAGTGGAATACACACACATACATATATATATATACATACATACATACATATGTATATATATATATATATAGATATACGTACAAATATGTATTTAAATACACATGTATAAGTTTTTGGTGGACACTAGATCACTGTACAATAAATTGGCTTCTCGGCTTGTGTGCTTCTGAAACTCTTAGGTTTGGTGCTGTCGTACTGTCAGATTTGCACGGCCGCAAGGCTGTCACTATAGGGGCATAAATCATTGCCAATACAATTTTTGGGGTCTCCTTATTATGGTTATAGTATAATGGGCGAAAGCCCTATTCTAATTATTAAGGCCCCTAATTACATTATTCATTATTGTAAATTCCGGGTTTGGGGTTTCGGGAAGGGAATAGGGTTTAGGGCTGAAGGGTTGTTCTGTAGACATCTTGTTAAGCACACTTCTGCAGCCGAGCACTGCCTCTTCAACAGAGCAAACCACCTCGAAGCCCGCACTATAAGGGTCCACGTACTTCTATGGCATATACTTAGGTTTCGAAGGGTGCCCCATAAAGTATCCGTAAGGCATACGTGGATTCAGCTTCCAAACATATGCAGTCGGAAAGCAGCCGGAGTAGAGAAACTCTGAAGCTTTGAACCTTAAATATGTTGGCCTCAAATCTTATCTTTGATAATTCCTGTCCTGAGCCCTAAACCCCACACGGTATCATGGAGTGCGTTTGGAGTTTTATAAGGGTTCGGAAAGGGGATGTTGGGTATGCGGTCAAACGAACCTTGTTGGTTGTGCTCTCACAATCTCCAAGGCCGGGTAAGGCTGTTGTTTTTCGGTTGGGATGTCCTCTGAGATTTGGGTCTGCTGATGTTGGCTTGCTTGTTTTCTTTGCTGGTGTTGCTTTGCTTTTTGGGTTTATGAGGTTGTGTACATGTCGGTGTGCATTTGTTTTTTGTTTTTTCTGGTGTTTTGGGCTCTGGTTGTGGGTGTCACTCCTTTTGTTGGTTGTGTTTTTAATTGTTTTGAGTTCCTCCATGATTTTGCGTCTTTGGTCGTTTGGTTGTCTGGGATGTTGATGTTCGTTGTTGACTTAGGCGGCTTGGATTTCTTCATTTCCTGGCTCGGGAATTCCTTTGGTGATTGTGTCCGTTGGTCTTGGTTTCTTTAGGTCGTTGTTTATGTCGTTTCTTGAAAAGAGCTTTCTTGATTAATTTCATTCGATCTCACCCCAAGCCCTAAACCCTGCAGCCCCAAAGCCAGCCAGACGCCCTAAGCTCCACACCCCGGAGCCCAAACCCCAAATCCTGCAACCCTAAACCCCAAATTCTGCAACTCTCCAAGCCATAGGTAGAGAAGTGAACTTTGCCAACAACAGCTTGGGCGATCGTGGCGGTCTTGCACTCCTGCGGGTTCTGTACAACAATCAGCTGGTGGCCGTGGCATTACATATGTATAAGGGTTTAAGATCCCTAGGGTTCGAATTGAGGGTTCCGGGTTTCGGGTTTGGGAAGAGGTGTACAAGGCCTCCATCGTAGTGTTTTGTTGATGATGTTTTAGTCGCCGGATCCAAGCCATGACACAGGCAAACCGAAACTTTGATCAGTGTGCAGAAACCCTAAGCCCTCAATGCCCACCGCTCGACTCAAATCCAGAGCTTGGGTACGTGTCTGGAGTTGTGCACTTGTTTCAGTCGTTGCCAGGTTCCTGGAAGTCTGTAGTCTGCTCCGTGTTTTGAAGGTCTTGGAGGCATGGCTGGGGGTTGCTTTCACATACGCACGATTTCATCACCAGGCATTCGGAGACATTACTCTACTCTAGTTTGAAGGCTGAGCTACAGATGATAGTAGCATCCAAGCTTTCCTGACAGTGGCACTCTCGACTCTTGCAGTGAGCTAGGTTCTCCAACAAGAAGTAGCACAATTCACGATCCGGGTTGTGAGTGTAGCAGGCCCAGAATTCATTACTTCACGTCACTTTCGCTGACTCAATCTAGGCACCGACATGCATGTGGGTTTTGAAGCAGGGAACCTGAACCTTGCACTTGCCCCTAAACCCTAAACCCTCAAACCTTGGTCAAGTTGGAGCTCCATACGTGCGATGCACAGGTCAAGCCCCTCAGTGTAAGAGTCTTACTTCGGGTTCCCCTGAGTCTCATTCCGAAGGCCTCTGGTACCAAGCCCTACATCGTTGTTGTACCCCTTTCGCTAAGGCAGTTCGGATCATTAAACTCTTCAAGAACCAGCTTGGCCGAGCCTTCGCGAGCTCCATGATGGCGTCTGGCCTGAACATATCGCTGCCCTAAGACCCAACACCTAAGCAAACGATAAGCCCCTCGCCCAGGCTTGTCCGAGTGTGAGTGCTGCAATCCCAAACCCTCAACCCTAAACCTTTTAAGCCTTCTAACATGTTTTATAAGGCTTTCCGGAGTTTTGTGGATTAGGCTTGTGGCTTCAGCTAGTTGCTCATACAACTGCTCCCCTGATCACCATGCGAGCTTGCATGCTGTTCTCACTCGCAGCTTTTGCGGTGCACTGGAACCATACGCCGCCCAGAGCCCAAGAGCCCCAGGACTGGCTCAGGAACACGCCTGTGCCTGCCCAGGAGCAGCTTTGGCATCAAATTCGAGAGGGTTTCTGAGGAGGTTACAGTGCATGTCTTCTGGCAGTCGCCAAGTTCGAGTTCCGGCACCCACTTCCGACCTTAAATTCCTAACTATGTTTGTGTAATTACCTCGCCGCGGTATTGTCAGGCTTCACGAAAGCGTGCGTCAAGCGTATAGCTCATCATGAGATCATCTACTATTCAGCCCCTTGAAGGTCTTGATTCTAGTATGATATGGGCCTGCAGTTGCAGGCCGATTTCTCAACAACCCAGGCACGAAAGGAACAAACAATAAAATGCATGCCCGCAAATCCTACAGCCCCTAAGCCGCTCAATTGGCCTAAGCGCGTTTGCGCGTTTTACAGAGAAGAAACCCAAAACCAACCTCCTATGTTTAGGATCTTACGTTAAGGCTTAGAAAAAGAGTTCGGGATTTTTTACAGCTTATGGCTTTACATAGGTCTTGGGGGTTTGGCTTTACATAGGTCTTGGGGGGTTTGGGTTTAGGGCTTTAGGGTTCTGGGTTGTAGCACCGACCCCCACAGAAGTTGAACGGTACATCCCAAGTGGTCCTACGGTTGATGATCTAAATCCTGCATGACCCATAATAAGGAATATACCACAATTCCCATAGTTTAGGATCATTAAGGTAATGCAGGATTTGTATCATCAACCGTACGGCCTTCTTTTTGCCAGAACCCTAAACCCTAAACCCTAAAGGCAAACTTCACTACCCTATCCGCCCTATCCCTCCCTCCTCGACCCTGCTGCCGATTTTTGGTTAACCAAAAAAAGGGAACTAAAATGGAGACTATGCTTGGAGGGCCGGGGGACTTAGTAGACTTATAAGTACCCTAAAAGGGACCCGAATTGGGGTTATGGTACTTATAAGTCCCTAACATAGCCAGTTGCTAAATCCCTTCTGACATTCCTAAGCCTAACAAACCCTACCTAGTGCCCTGAATCCGAGGCTCCACTTGTCTCACAATTTCATCCCGCGGGAAGGGGCCGTGGCACCGCGACTGCAGACGGATCTTCATTTTCGGTGTTCGGTCGGAGGGTTTCTTTGAGATTTCCTCCGGGCTCCCTATAAGCGCTACCGCCCTCCGCCAGAAAGCCCATTACCCTTTTGGGAACCTTTGGGTAAAACTTAAACCCCACATGCAGCCCACATGTGTGGTTGTCAAAATTGGGGTCCCTTTTTGGGTCCTTAATGTAATACGGCACCTATAATTTAGGGTACCCAAAACAGGGACCCTGATGTTGACAGCCCCCCCTAAACCCTAAACCCTAAACGGAGGACATCCTCAAAGCTGTGGCGCACAATGAAGCCTTCGCCTCGGCAACCGAGGGGCCTGCTACGGTTGATGATATAAAATCCTAGGACTCCTTTAAAGGGATCTATAAGGGTACCTTTAAGGCTTTCCTTTAAGGGATCTATAGGGTTTTAGGGTTTAGGGTGATATAAATCCTGCATTACCTTCAGGACCCTAAACTATGCGAAATATGGTACATTCCTTATAATCCTATGGGTAATGCAGAATATATATCATCAGCCGTGTGTCTTGAGACTTGGGTGGGGAGCTCGCTAGGGGCCCAGGGTTTAGGGTTCAGGGCTTAAGGGTTTAGAGTTTAGGGTTTCGGGGTTCAGGTTTACTTCAGGGTTTCCGGCAAGTCACTGGACCAACAGAGAAAGAAGGTAACCAATAACAGCACAATAATCAAACTAATATTGGTAAGACTGATAGTGATACGAATCATCATCTCCATCATCATCATCATCCTCATCATCATCATCCTCATCATCATCATCCTCATCATCATCATCATCATCATCATAGCTTTTTATTATCATCATTACCATAACTGAAAACCCCCAACCCTACGGCCCTAAGACGATCCAGCACGTTTGCTAACCTCTGGGCCTCAGATTCCCCATTTTCGTGTGGGTCCTTTATAGTTACCTATACTAAGTTGTGGGTTCCTTATCTAGGTAGGGCTTTGGGACATTTTATATTTGCCCTTATTGGGCTTAAGAGGATCTTATTTACTAATATTTTGCAAAGGCTTTGAAAGCCCCACCTAGTTATTCCAAATATAGTAGAATGGTCCCCAAAACTCTATTGAAATTATTAAGACCCCTATATCATCTTCAACTTATGGGGGGGGGGGCAATGTATCGAGCGGTTGTCCCTCCTACAGGACTCCGGCGGTTGATGACATAAATCCTGCATTACCCATAATAAGGAATATGCCATAAATCACATAGTCTACTTGGAGGGGCAGGGGACTTAGTAAGTAGGTTATAAGTAGAGTTATAAGTACCCTAAGTGGAATTACCCCAATCATAACCCTACTTATAAACGACTTACTAAGCCCCCTGCCCCTCCAAGTAAGGTCATAATAGTAATGCAGGAACTATTTCATCAACCGAAGTTTATGTTATGGTCCTCTGGGCTTCTTACTGTTCCATGGCCTGGACCTTCTACGCGTTCGTTGTTTTTGGGCTTGCGGGCCGTGGCGTTTAAGGGGATTAGGTTAAGGGATCAGGATATAGGGCTTATGGACTAGAGTGTTTGGGTTTAGCGATAAGGGTAAATGTCTTAAGGCTTGCATTTTAGGATTCCAGGTTCCTCCCTAAGTTTTACAGGTTTAGGAAAGCGTTCATCGTTTGGCCCTGCAGAGGAAGCTCCTTCAGAATTCAAGTATATAGGCCATAAGAGCCGCGAGGTGTACCCAGCTGTGCTGAAGGGTGGCTCACGGCAACCTCTTTGGCTCCGCCTCGAGCAGAACATGGTCGACTCGCGGCGGCAATTTCCAGTGATGCGGTTGATGATATAAATCCTCTATTACCCATAATAAGGAATATACCATAATTCCCATAGTCTAAAGTCATTCAGGTAATGCAGGATTTATATCATCAACCGTGCTTCCGGGCTCTGAGGGCTTCCGGGATTCAAGACCAAAGGTGTAGTAAATATTCGTACAACCACACACACATACACTCACACACACACACACATTCGTGCACATACATACATACATACATACATACATATCTAAGTATGTGTGTGTGTATAAACTACATGTGTGTGTTTTCAGGGTGAGAGAGACTACAGGGTGTAGGGAAAGCCTCGGGTCGCTCATTAACAACCCTAAACCCTAAACCCTAAACCCTAAACCCTAAACCCTAAACCCTAAACCCTAAACCGAGACGAAGCAAAGAAACCTGGAAGTCCTTGGGCCCCAAGAAATGTAGGGCCCCTCGAGACTCCCTGGTTTCTGGTTTTGGGGTGTTGGGCTTAGGGGTTTAAGGTGTCTAGGGGTTTAGGGTTTAGGGTTTAGGGTCTAGGGGGTTTGGGTTTAGGGGTTTCGGGTTTAGAGGTTTTGGGTTTGGGGTTTGGTTGGGGTTTTGGGTTTCTCCCTGTGCGCACAGACCACCAAACCACTGCTCTCGTGGACGAATATCTCTGAGCCCTTGACCTGATACAGCCTGAACTCAATTCTTTGAGTGAATTGGAGTGTCAGGGCTAAACCTTACTTATGGTTAGGACACTCTATATATACACAAGCAGATATCCTAAGAAGGGGTAGACAAGGTATGAGCCTACAGGTAAGCCCTAAACTCTGAACCCTCGGACCTCGAACCCAAGCCTTAGCATGGTGCCGGATCAAAGGCCGTGTAGTGAGAGCTGGGACTTGCACCTTCCAGAATCATGGTCCTCGTCCGAGACTTCATACTTCCCTCGCTTCCTCCCTCCCTCCCTCCCTCCCTCCCTCCCCGCCAAACCTGAAGTCTACCAGAAATTTGTGGTATTATGTTCAAGGTTTCGTCTTTGGAGTGTCACAAGTCAGGAGAAGCCAGACGAGCTTCTCAAAGTCGCAGAAGAGCAGCTCCATGGCTATGCATTCAGAAGCCCACATCAGTTGCAAGCCTAAGTCAGGAGCTGTGACCCTAAACCCTAAACCCTAAACCCTAAAGCCCAAACCGGTCTTCGACCAATTTCGCAACCTAACCTCGGAGGCTTCAATCACGTATTGTGCATTGGCCAAGAAGCCATGAGAAGTGATGAGGCGGTGAGGCGAAGTACTTGCAAGAATCATCGCAGACGCTCAGCGACACCAGCCCTCGTCCCCACAACGATTCAGCTCACGGCTTCAACCCTAAACCCTAAACCCTAAGCGAAGCCCAGATCCAACACCCCCAAACCCTGAGCGCCGAAACCCTGCCCTGAAGACCAGACCCAACACAAGCAACCCCCCCATGTGATCTGAGTCTGGCGAAAATCGCGAAGCACAGACTCGGAGGCCGTTTGTGTGTCCACTGAAGTGATGGCTTTCGTGTTCAGGGCTTTGGGGCTTTAGAGTTTGGGGCCTAGGGCTTTGGGGTTTAGGCTTGGTTGGGGTATAGGGAGCCGTTTACTCAACAACTCGAACAATCAAAAACTTGAAACTCTAGACTTTCAATCATCATGCTGCCACGAGTGCAGCGGCTCTGAGATCCAGGCGGGCATATACAAGTCGGTGCAAAAGAGTGGTTGGGGTTTAGAGGTTTCCTTAACCCTGAATAACCTACCTTTCTATCGTTCCTTATTATGAATCCCTTATCTAAATCCCTAAAAAGGTAGGTTATCCCGGGTTAAGGTTAGGGTTATATCGAGGACCCTGCTGCGATTTATGTTTTTGTTGCTTCGCCGTGGGATTTCGGACTGAACCCTGCAACGGCAAGATCAGA